GGAAAGGCTGCATCAGCAGGGAGCTGAGATGGCCTGTGTCCTCTGGGAACTGGTTTAACTGGCACAGGGAACTCCGCTGCCAGCTACGACCAACACCTCTCCTCGGGAGGAACAACAGCTCAAAGGCAGAGGGGGTTTGGGTGAAGGTTGTGTGTGCCCTGAGCTCTGGTTGTGGATTGGAGTGATCTCTAAGCAGTGTTTTCATGCCAGGTAAGAACAGCTTAGGAATGCAATAAGAATGGAATAAGAATTGGGAATAGAACAGAATTGGGAATAGAACAGAATTAGGAATAGAAGAGATGAGATGGTAGTTTCAGCAAGAAGACAGAATTCTTCCTGGCTATGTGAATGGGATCTCTGTGTTTATCACAGAAATTTGGGCTTGACTCACCTTGGGTTGGGTGCCGCCGATTTTCAGAGGAAACGGGACGATAACAGGCAGCATTATCTTGTTTCTGCTGCAATACGAAACTTCTCTGAGTCACTCCTTTCCCAAAAGCACTAGCTTCTCGGACGCTGTCAGACCCACAAATCTTTCCCATTTGTCCCAATAGGAGGAATTTAACAAAAGCAAAGTTGCGATTTCTTGCCAAGAAACCTTGCTTTAGTAATTAAAGAGAAACAAAGCATTTCATTCCTGCAGTAAGGAAAAATGTATTATTCCCACCAAATAAGCTTTATTTACAGAATATGTGACAGTTACTGATAGTGCAGGGGGGCTTTCTAGCTCCAGCATTACTTGAGCCCCCTGGGACCAGTACTTCTGTCTGAAACCTTTGGGCTCTGCTTACGGAACCCTCTGGAGAATGATGTGTCTGGTTATTTTGTTCTAAATGTCTTTTTTTAATTTATTTTTTCTTTTGTTTAAGCGTTCTTCAGTCTGATTTGAATGAAATACCCCAGAGAAAAGGCCCTCTCCAGCGTTTCCGTCCACAGGGCTGGACAAGATGCCAAAGCAGGTAAAAAGAAAACCAGGAATTGTGTGTGCTAATTAAATTTTACTGCCAGGAAAGAATTTTTGGCGCGTTTCCATGCAGTCAAGATTAGGTAACTACTAATGCATATTCACCCCTACTTCATTAATTGCCTGGGCCTATTAACTGTGTGGTTTTGAGCTGTGTTACTAACACCAGCTAGTGATTTTTGTTATGCCATTGGCTTTAACGGGGCAGGTGTTAACGCGGGCAGCAAGCACGTCCCTAAGGGTGATGGTTCAGTACAATTAATGCACACTCGAGGTGTAGGTATGCAGTGTAGGTATCAGAAGTGATAATAAGCCCTTCCTCAGGTCTTGCAGGATCAGCTGCACGCTGGACTTAAGATCTCAGCAGCTGCCAGCGTAACACAGGGAACACGCGGGAGAGCACAGGGCAACTGGCAGAAATTCATCTTGTCAGAGTATTTCATAATTGTGTGTCTGTTCCCTGTGAGAGCAGCAAGCTCCTTGATGGGCATCCAGAGTGGAATAACAGAAATCCCTTAAATGGCAATGCTTACCTGCATTCCTAAGCTTTTGGTTTTTTTACTTTGCTGTGTAAAATTTTATATTACTGGAAATGAACTACTTATGCTGTCTGCAAAAGACAATAATGCTCCTAAATGAGTACAGTATTGTAGCTTTATTTTTTTTTTTTAAGAAATGTGTTAATGGGATTTTGCAGTGTATTTTCTCTTGTATTAATGAGCTTGGCTCACGTAGTGGGAATGCTGCTAACTAAATTTAGCACTTTTTCTGTATAAACAAGGTGATACTGTTCATTGACTTGGTTAACTTCTAAAGAATTGCAGATTTATGCTACTAAATACAAATGAGTAGGGTTACTTTGAAGGAGTTTCTGTCAAGGAGAAAGGGAACAGAAAAGGAATATCCAGAAAGCAAAAATCAGGACTGGCATCTTTTCCTTTCTTTATTTTCCCCTCTCTCCTTCTCCCCAGAAATGACAGAGAGGACCTGAAATCTCTCTTCTGGCTAAGTTTTCCATTACGTTTGTACAACAAATGTGTCCTTCCAACTAATATCCTCAAGGACATGGGAGCCCAGAGGCTAAGATTTAAATGCTTTAAGTGATTCAAAGGGGACAATTCTTCACCTACTGCAGCCCAGCTCTTGTAACACCACCATTGCTTTCCCCTGGCTGTAACCTCTGCACTCTGCAACTTTACTCTTGGGGCCATCAGTCTCTACTCCAAAAATGACAGTCTCTGCTAGGAAAACTGCATCTGTGCTGGACCATGGAGCTTTTGGCTCTACCTTGGCTTCTGCAGCCAGTCCTTCCTGCTTCCCATGGCCGTGACAGCGTTTGCATCCAATGTGTGACATTCCTAGGCTCAGAAATACACCAGTTAAGAACACCCTAAAAGTGTGTCTGTGCTGAACGGCCTGCAAAATTGCAAGTGCCAGGTAGTGTGAGTCTAAGGACACATTCTGTCCAAGTGCCTTTGCTTACAGTTAGAATTACCAGAGTTTAATTCAGTTTACAGACGGCGTTGTCAGGCTGCCATCTCTCATACGCTCATCTCTCCTTTCTAAAACCAGAGCACCCCATGGGAACCACTGATGCAGGGGGAGGGCAACTGGGAGGAAGAGTAGCTCAAACATACTAAGTTATGACTCCCCTTGAGACTGAACTTGTGTTACGTGGAGGCAGTAGAAGAGCTGTAAACTCTAGTGGATGAGGTGAAAGTCCAGCTTCGTTCAGCCTTTGGTCCTGATCTCACATCCCCTCCAGGAAAATGGCCAAAAAGAAGACTCCATCATCCAGAATGACCTCAGTGAATCGTTTGAAGAAGAAGTTAGAGCGTTCCTTAGTGATGAAGAGAAACTGCACCTTTTTGATGACCTCACAAAAGTTAATCCAGTGACAACTACAACAGGTAAGAGCCAGGGCTGTATCTCCTGAGGAGCCACTTTCCCTGGTAGCTACTAATATAAGGTAGTTACTGTTCTCATCACATTAATAGTACCGTGAACATAGTAGTTAAAGATTCAAAGCCTATTAAAACCTATTCAAAGCCTTAGAAAGTTCCTTTTGGCTTGGCTGAATTTTTTTTCCAAATGCTTTTATTGTAGATGTAGCTGTGCTGAGCCCTTATCAAGCTGTGCAGGCAGAGCTCACGTTTGTGGTGTTGGTCCAGGTACCAGGGTGTGGCTGAGGGTTGGTGCTGTTGAAGGACTCCTGCATGACCTTGTGATTGCAGTTTGGTTTTAGTTGAACCTGTCAGAAAACGAGGCTCTGATTTAGATTCAAAATATATCTGTGAAATTGATTTTGAAAAGTAAATTCCTCACTTGCCTGTCTCTCGTGCAAATGGGGAATTCTTGCCTCTTCTGCAGATGAACAGATTTGCTTTCTAGGACTATGCGAAACCTCATAAAAGCCCAGGATTTATTGAATGGAATAGTTAGCAGATCCCTTCAGATTTTTAAAAATAAGGGCAACTCTTAAAGACATTGTTGTGTACATGTCATGGTTGAACCCCAGCCGGCAGCTGAGCACCACGCAGCCGCTCGCTCGCTCCCCCTCAGTGGGATGGGGGGCAGAATTAGAAGGGTAAAAGTGAGAAAACTTGTGGGTTGAGATAAAGACAGTTTAATGGGTAAAGCAAAAGCTGCACACAAACAAAGCAAAACAAGGAGCTTACTCACTGCTTCACATCGCAGGCGGGTGCTCAGCCATCTCCAGGAAAGGTGGGCTCCATCACAAGTAACAGTTACTGGGGAATAAAACCACCATGACTCTGAGCGTTCCCCCTTCCTCCTCCTTCCCCCAGCTTTATATGCTGGGCATGATGTCAGGGTGGTGTGAGGAGCAGAAAAGGCCTGGACTCTGTGCAAGCACTGCTCAGCAATGACGAAAACATCGCTGTGTCATCAACACTGTTTTCAGCACAAATCCAAAACACAGCCCTATGGTACCTACTATGGCAGTGTCAGGTTAATGATTGGACTCGATGATCTTAAAGGTCCCTTCCAGTAGACAATTCTATGATTCTACCATGAAGAAAATTAACTCCCAGCTGAAACCAGGACAGTATATTAGAACTATATCACTCTCTTGATCACCTCATTCTCTACTAGACCTAATAGGTAACATACCTGAAGATTTTTGTTACAGACAGACACAGGAAGAGTCAAATACACTTTTCAAAAGATGCTGACAGAATGTGTCTTTCAGTTCTGAAATGTCTTCAAGCAAGATATGCAGTAAACTTGTTCTATACAAATGCTGGCTGCAGCCTGGTGGCTTTAAATCCATTTCAGCCTGTCACCTACCTCTATTCACCTGAGCTCATGAGAGAGTACCACGTCGCACTGCGTCCTCAGGTAATCCTTGTATTTGAAATAACTGTCCTTCCGCAGAACCCAAATGTTAAGTTCGACAAAATCTATGTAAGCAAAATAATCCTAAAGAATAAAACCCATTTCTAGTGAAATATGAGTTCTGGGGAAAGAGCGGTACTGTTTGCAGATAAATGTGAGAAGACCTTTGCTGTTCATTGCTGTTGATCTGTGTAATTACTGTTCTCTTAAATACGATCATTCTATTTTATTGCCAGGATTTAAAACCTCACATCTTTGCAGTGGCTGAACAAACCTACAGAAATGTCCAAAGTCAGATAGAGCCCGTCAACCAGTCTATAATTGTTAGTGGAGAAAGTGGTGCTGGGAAGGTAAGGGGATTTTTTTCTGACATTGCTCTTAAGTTTTGAGACTTACTTGTGAGCTGCAGTGAACAAGTAAAGACAAAGAAAAGAACTTCTGCCAGAGCACAGAGCCAGTCTGCTCTAGCAAGACTCTTGAAATATGTGGAAATCATGAAGTGCTTGCTGCAGTTGAATAGCCTCTACTTGATGTAGCTGTTGGGGAGCTCATGTGGGTCTCAGCAAAGCCTATGTGGAGGCTTAGAAGAAGCAGAGAGTTCAGATCCTATCCTAGACCCTTCTGTAATGGTCTGTCCCTCTTCAGGAAGATACCCAGGATGTTTTTAAGCCTGAGAACAAAATGATTTGCTGAGTGTTAACGACTCAAAGTCTATTTATATTCAGTTCATCCTCAGCTACTAACTGTTAATTCTAGGTGAGCTTCCAGGTTGTTACATCTTGATAGAGCTGCCATTCAGCAAAGCACTCTGACTCCAATGGCATTTAAATGTGTCTTTTGCATGGAAGCATGTGCACAAAAAGTTTCCACTGAACCAGAGCTATAAACCTGACACAATTACTCTCTTCAGAATCCTCACCAGCTGCATACTGTGTTTTCAGAAGCTAGGGCTGTTTCACTGGCATAACTAAAACAACATGGTAAAAACAAAGCCCTATTGTCAAGCCTCTTTCTTGCAGACCTGGACGTCTCGCTGCCTTATGAAATTCTATGCTTCTGTTGCTGCTTCAGTTATCTCCCCAAAAGGCAATGAAACTGTGGAAAGGATAGAGAAGAGAGTGTTGGATTCCAACCCTGTCATGGAAGCATTTGGTAAATGAGACTTTTTTAATAGCTAGAAGAAGCAGTAGCCACTGTGGGAATTTTCTTTGTTAACACACAAGTTTAAGCCCTTGGTTCTCTCCTTAAAAGATAAATTCTTCAAATATCACCCTTAATATCTCCATGTCCTACGTGGAAGAGTGGAACCACTCTGATCATGCTGTATCTGTCACTGGCAATTTCACAGGAAATGCATGTACCCTGCGGAATAACAACAGTAGCCGTTTTGGAAAGTATATCCAGCTTCAGTTAGACAGGTAATAATCACTGTGTAAAAACCTTATCTATTGTCTTCTTCCTTTAAATCTTTACAAGCCTATTTCTGAAGCCTGCCCTAGAATGTTTGATGTGTCTTTAGAATGGATTTTGGTTTGCTGGCAGCTTACATTATTATTAATTTTTCTTCTGTAAGCTCTCAACCTGATCTCTAAAAGAGAGCAAAGGAAAAACAGAGATGCAGTTCAGAACTCTGAATAAAATATTACATTCAGCTTGCACAAAACTGAAGGTGAACTGCAAAGAGTTCATGGTATCATGACAACACAACACCCATCAGATTCTTTGAGGAAGTTTTGTTGAAATCTCTGCCTTTTTTGCCCCTCTAGATTCCATCATCTGAGTAGTGCCTCCATTCAGACTTTCCTTTTGGAGAAAACCAGAGTTGCCTATCAGGCCCCCAACGAAAGAAACTTTCACATCTTTTATCAGGTTTGCTTTCAGTTAATTTTCCTAGATATTTCTGACAAACAGTGGGGATGAAATCACCAGCTTTACCACAGTTGTAATTTTTAATATTTAGCAGTTTTCCTATCTGCTGTGCTTCCAAATGAAATGATGCTCCCAGTGTGTCACTGTTCATTCCCTGTGAGATGTAAATACCAAAGGCAGAATTCAGTCCTTACCTTGTTTTCTGTCTCCAGATCACAAAAGGTGCCACTGCAGAGGAGAGGCTGGAATGGAACCTTCCAGAAGGGGCTGACTACCGCTGGCTGCCAAATGCTGAAAGAAGCTTAGATGGTAAAGATTAGTTTCACAGACTGTCCATTAATAACAGCTGTAACTTTAAAGGAAGGCAGACAAAAATGTGTGTGCCCTGTTAAATCCCACGAGCCAGGCTGGTCACCAGCAGCTGTTGTGCAAAGCCACCTGGGTTAATGGGATTCTTTTTAAGTTGCAGTTTGCTCAGTGAAGAGTTTTCACCTGGCTTAAACCAGCATTTTTTTGGCCTAGCAAATTTGCATCTCTGTGGCTATGTTTAGAAACTGGTTCTTCTTTGGATGTGCTTCAGCAACCCACTGCCCCACGTCAGAGCCCCACAGGCTCAGCATTAGGTCAATTATTTGGTTCTCCAGCTTGTACCATCTGCCTTCCTTGACCTCCTTTGAGGATTCCAGCTGAACTGGAGGTGGTGTCAGGCGTTGTGCTTGCCTGTCTTTGTGTGCATGGCTTTCCTTTAAATAGCACCCGTTTGGCTTTTCAGAGGACTGCTTCGAGGTGACCAGAGATGCAATGTTTCACTTGGGCATTGACCGCTCCACGCAGAACAATATTTTCAAGGTCAGGTACAAAGCATGGTCACCACAAAGCTGCTGCTGATGTTTGGAATGTCTTTTTAGTCTGGGATTTCTGCAGAAGTAAATCTGTATCGATGTATAGAGCACGGGTTGTTTGGTACTCCTGACTGCAGGGCCTGCAGCTGTGCATTAGATTGTGTAACCAAATATTAATTGCACGGGTTGTTTGGTACTCCTGACTGCAGGAGCTTGCAGCTGTGCATTAGAGTGTGTAACCAAATATTAATACTTAACTAAAAGTCTGCACCAGTGGACTTTAGTTTTCCCTCAGTAATTGCAGCATTGGGAATTAACACAAAAGCTTGGAATCTATTTGCTTTTTTTTTTTCTATTCAGAAATGTTTTGACTTGTCATACTCATGTGGGAAGGCAAAGAGGACATTGTTCTGTTTTAGAAAACTGAATGAATAATTATATTTCAGGTATTGTCAGGCCTTCTCCATCTTGGGAATGTTCAATTCTCCAATCCTGTGGATGAATCTCAGTCTTGTGAACTAGAAGAAAACGCCAAAGGTGAGGCAACGAGCACGGCGTGCTCCAGAGGGTCTTGTTCTCTGAGTGCAGATGCCCAATGGAAAGGATTGCTACGCTCTTCTGCTTGGCAGGAGACTAGCGAGGTCATGGGCAAACCAAAATTTAAGTGTGTTTTTGTTTGGTCCTTCAGGGTTTCAAAGTATCGAACAAACAAAAAGCCAGTGCTCCCCTGCTCTGAGAGAACATCCTTCCACTACAGGTCAAGGCAACTGCAACATTAGACAGTCATTTCAGGAGGATTGTTGGCAGAACCGTTACTCTTGATTGTAATCTTGCGTTGACATCATAAGGCTTCCAGAAATCTGACCCAGAGTGGAGAGCAGGGCTTTTAAAATTAAAGCTTTGAAGTTCTCATGATAAAGACTAAAACTTAGGAGACTTAGGTCTCTGCTCAAAAAAGGTGAAAAAGTAACAAAGACATACCTAGAAAGTACTCTCTAAAAACGCCTTCTTCAGTGTGGCAAACTTCTGACTTTTTTGGTATTGTTGTTTCATTTCAATAGAGTACCTGAAATTCTAGGGGTGTTGCGCATCCAAATATAGAATCTGGTCTTGCAAAGCTTTCCTCCAAATCCAAAAAATCCACATTTAAGTTGGTGATTTCATGGAAGCGTCATTTTTCTATACTATCTCTAGATCTTCCATAACTTGAAAGGGGCTGCAGCCATTTGACACTCCAGATAACCTTGCAATGTTGTTTTTTTTCTGGACAAGACTTTTTGAAGACTGCTGGAGCTTTGCTGCAGATACCTGTCGAGGAGCTACTGGAATCATTAAGAATTCGAACAATAACTGCTGGGAAACAACAACAAGTCTTCAAGAAGCCGTGCTCCAGAGCCGAGTGCGAGACGAGGAGGGACTGCCTCGCCAAAGTGATCTATGCCAAGTAAGGACATGTAGCCCAGCTGCTCTGCTAATCCCTAGAACTTTTTTGAGGGAATAGAGAGGGATTTACTTTCCTTTGGCTTTCTGCTTGGACTCAATAGCAGCGTAACCCTCCCTTCCCTGCTCGACACACCTTTGATTCAGTTGTAGACCCTGAGAGAGCTGCAGTATCTAATAGGGAGACCTTCAGAGAACTGCTGTTTCATGCCAGCTACTGGTAAAAACAGCAGTAAAAGAGTTGTAAGCAAGCATTTTCCAACTAATCCAGTTGTCCTTGTCTGCAGATTGTTTGAATGGCTCGTTTTGGTCATAAATGAAAGCATCTATGGAGATCCTTCAGGATGGACCAGCTTCATAGGTATGGTTTGTTCCTCCCTGGTTTAACTGGGTAACCCTAAGTCCTTCAAGCTGCTCCTAAACCAAAGTACACTGTCTTCCCGTGTTCCTCCCAGGTTTGTTGGATGTTTATGGTTTTGAAGCCTTCCCTGAAAACAACTTGGAACAGCTCTGTATTAACTATGCCAACGAGAAACTGCAGCAGCACTTTGTAGCACACTATCTGAAGGCACAACAGGTATTACTCTGTTAAGATCAAATGTTGAATATCTAATTTTAAAACAGCGAGAAACTGCAGCAGCACTTTGTAGCACACTACCTGAAGGCACAACAGGTAATACTCTGTTAAGATCAAATGTCGAATATCTATTTAAAACAGCATTTTTAATCTCTATCATTGTATTTCTTTGCTCTGATCGGATTGCAACCTTCAGCCAAGTAATTAATGCCAAAGAAATCAGTGGGAAGTGAGTAAAGATTGGGTTTGTTTTTTTTTTTAAAGAGGAGACTGTGGGGCAGTTGGTGGCATGAGACAGCTTTTTCTCCATAGGGCACTGGAACTCTGTTCCCTGTTATACAGCTCCACAGCTCTGTGCCCTGTTCAACTGTTTCCATTCCCTCAAAGAGCTGAACACTTTAAAACTAAAGTCTTGAGGTAAGAAAATGGCCTAAATTGAGATTTTCTTGGAAGCTGCTGCTTAGAACCATGTTAATTCTCTTCATCAAGTATAAATTACCTTAATGGTTGGGGAGGTTCTAGAGCTGTGCTTCGTGCAGACCCCTGTGACCTGAACATCGATAGCTCCTGGTACCTGGTGGAGGCCTCCTGCTGCTGGAGAATGACAAAACCACACAAATGCACTGCAGCCACTTCCTTAACTGGTCACACACCACTAATTCCAGTTCCCATCTGAGTGCCCTGAAAGCTGCAGAGTCCCTGCCAGGCCCGGGGTGCTGCTCTAATAGCTGTACTTAGGTCCTCCTTGAATCCCTCCACGTGACACATCCATTACCACAGTGCTCTTTGCCATTTACTGGAATCTGGGAAATTCTTTTCTTTTCTGGTACCTCCTGCATCGTGGCAGTTTTATCCATTTATTCAGGAGAGAAGTATCTCTCTGACCAAAATTTGTGCTTTCCTATGCCCAGCCTTTTTTTTTTTTTTTCCTGCCTGCCCTCGTCGGTAAGGCAGGGGTTAATGGTCAGTGAAGATGGAAACCAAGTTCAAGCACACAATTACTTTCCTTGAAGCTGATTGATGAGCTCTATTTATAGTCCCCTCCCAGTTACTGCCTGCCCTCTCACCTCTCCTCAGCTGGCCCTGGCCCAAGCCACTCGGACGCCATTAGTGGCCGCGCTGAGCAAGCTTTCACCAGGAGACTTTTAAAATAACTGGCCAGAGTTTGTGCTTGTTAAAGACTCCTGACAGTTTGTTCTGTAATTCGGCAAAGATATTGTACCAATTATTTCAACCAATATCTTTCTCCACTTCCTTTGGATCAGGCTTTGTTTTAAATGGAGCCCAGTACGTAAGGTCTGGCGCAGGGTGGTTGTTTTGGGCTGTGTCCCAAGCTGAGGAAGGAGCTCTCTGTGACCGTGCCCTACAGGGCAGAACCCAGCACAGGCAGGAGAAACTTACAGGGACTGCCTGAGCCTTGCAGCTCTCTAATAAATCTGAGAGATTCCCAAAGACTTAAACAAATTATTCCAGCAGGATCTGCTGCGACCTACTCAAAAGCTACCTGGGGTAGCATATCCTCATTTGCTTTTATTTTTTCCTCAAGATTTCCACTCAACATGAGCTGAGCTTTGGATCCGAGCCTGGGATTTACAGTTAAACAGTAACTGCATCAAACTGCACAGAGCCATAGGGCTGCAGTGCCCTCTGCTGCGGAGTAACCACTCTCTGTCTCTTATTTCAGGAGGAATACGCGGCCGAGGGCCTGCAGTGGTCCTTCATAAACTACCAGGACAACCAGAACTGCCTGGATCTGATCGAGGGGAATCCTCTCAGCATTTTTTCTTTGCTGAATGAGGTAAGCGTGGATCTACACTCCCAAATGCTTTTGGCCTAATTTTCCTGCCCTCCATCCCACGCCACCAAACATGAGCGCTAAATTAGTAGGAAACTTGCTAGCTATAAAATTTCTGCAGAGATTACTTTTCCTGCTTACTATTCTGAGCCATCTTTTTTCCTCTGAAACAGGATGTTCTGATTCAAATATGAAGCCTCAAATAATTTTTGGGGTTTTTTTTATTTCCCAATATTCCAGGGCTTGCATACTCAAAGCAACTCTAAAAGTAAAATGGCTATGATTTTAACTTAAAGTGGGTTTAGCTTTTCAAGACTCTTCTTTATGACATGCAAGAGATGCTGCAATTTTGTCTCGTGTGTGCTGCAGGAGTGTCGACTGAACAGATCCTCCAACACCGACCTCTTTCAAACTCGGATTGAGAAAGCCTTGTCTAATAATCAATGTTTAAGTCGAAACAAGTTCAGTAAGAAGCCTAACTTCATTATTTCACATTACGCTGGCAAAGTCTGCTATCAGCTGGCAGCAATGGTGGAGAAAAATAAGGTAGGTGCTTTTAGAAAGAGCTCTATAAAACAAACAAACAAACAAACAAAAAATCTTTCAGACCAAAACCAATTTAAATCAAAGCACCACTAACATGTATGTTCAGTGACGTTTACCAGAGATACATACCTTGCTCCAAATAAGTAGATTTACAGAATATTCCTGACTCTGAATATGAATGTACATAGTCAGATTTGAAACTACAGCTTTGGTTAAATCAGAAACACTATTCCATCTATACCTGTGGAATTTTCAGTCAAAGGTGGCAGGTTTCTGGTAAGTCCAAATACTCACAAGTGACGTCTGTGTTCGCAGGACCCCATTCCACCAGAGCTGGTCCATGTGTTGCAGAATTCTAAGGACCCTTTGATTCAAAAATTATTTCCTGTGACAGAAAGGAACCAAAATAACATCAAAACCCAGAGCAGAGCAGCTGTGGTTACAGTGGTGTCAAAGTTCAAGGTATGTCCTGTTTAGCTTTCTGCTTTCTACTGCTAGAAACTAGATGAGAAAACAGTTTAGTTGGACCAAAACCAGTAAATGTTATTAAAATGCAACAGCTGTAAAACAGAAACAGCTTCAGATTCCTGAGATTCTCAGGGTTTTAACTCACTCTGATTTTACCTTTTCCTTTAACAGTTGGGCATCTGCTTTTGTGAGGCTTCTTCCTACCTGTTCCTCTGGAGGGGTAGCTTCAGCTGATGGCCCTGCTGTAATTTTGGAAACTTTCTGAATTTACCATCAAGTGCTTTACAAAAGCATCCACAGAGTGGGTTTTTTGCTCCAGTGGTCGTTACAGAAGAGCTCTGCTAATGCTGAGTCTGTAGAGCCATCCTTGCAAAAAAAACCTGCTTTGTTTTTACAGAGGACCACTGGTTTGTTAAACCCCCTGTGGAGGAGTCATCCCTAATTAAGCCTGTCTTTGTTTTCTGCAGAGTTCACTTGAACACCTCATGCAGATTTTGAGTAGCACCACACCGCATTACATCCGCTGCATCAAGCCCAACGCCGACTGCAAGGCAATGACTTTCAAAAGAGAAGAGGTAACTTTTCAAAAGCCCTTCCTCACGGAGTCAATGAGAAGGTTCTTCAAGACACTGTGTGGGGCTTTGCATCGGGTCTCTGTCATCTGGAGTCACTTGCAAAGCTCTTTTCTCAGCACATCTTGAAATAGCTTTTTCTGCTTTGGAGCTTCCAAGATAAACATCCTTTCTGAATCACTGATGATGCTTGTCTGAAATGGAGCTGGTGACCACAGCAGCTCTTCCAGATGCAACTTACTTGTTGTGTGAGAAGTTCTCACCTCCTGGGTTATTTGGGGTGCTGCCATCCCAGCCCTCAAGAGACAGGTGACATGACTGCTCTGCAGTCCTGGGCACACAGGTACCTTCATGGTGAATTTCCTAGAAAACTTTGCTTGCTCTTGGATGCTGCTGTGGAACAAGTTAGATGAGATCAACCAACAAGCATCTTTGGGAGCAGAGCAGCAGCTGTGAGTGCTGTAACTGGGGAACCTCACCTGGGTAAAAACAAGCATCTGGGTAGTGCTGCATTATCTTTAAACGCAATATTAAAATACCAACAATGAGCTTCTGTGTTCTGCTGCATTCGGCCAGTGCAGGGTGTGTGGCCACCATGAGAGAGGGGACACAAGGACTGTCCCTCAGCTGAGCCGAGCTCCACTCCAACAAGCATCTTTGGGAGCAGAGCAGCAGATGCTAATGCTGTAACCGGGGAACCTCACCTGGGTAAAAACAAGCGTTTGGATAGTGCTGCATTATCTTTAAACACAGTATTAAAATACCAACACTGGGCTTCTGTGTTCTGCTGCATTCAGCCCGTGCAGGGTGTGTGGCCACAAGGACTGTCCCTCAGCTGAGCCAAGCTCCGCCGGGGCCCAGCACACGCAGCTTCCATGAAGGGTAAGACAGTGGTCACCTAAACTATCTCCATTTACACCCCAGGTCCTCAGCCAGCTCCAGGCCTGTGGAATAGTGGAAGCCATCACCATCAGCGCAGCGGGGTTCCCCATTAGGTAAGTCCCAATTTCTTGAGAAACATCTTCCATAATCTGTTTCTATAGCAATTAGTGGCATGTTAGTCATTTAGAAGAGCATTTAAGCAGGAAATCCAAGTATTTTGCTATTAGAGATCATGAAACTTTACCAGTTCTTCAGTTCTTTCCAAGCTATCAGAAGGGTTCTGCTCACTGCTTGCTTTTAAGCTTACCATCCCAGCCCTCAAGAGAAAGGTGAATGACTGCTCTGCAGTCCTGGGCACACAGGTACCTTCATGGTGAATGCTCTAGTAAACTTTGCTTGCTCTTGGATGCTGCTGTGGAACAAGTTAGATGAGATCAACCAACAAGCATCTTTGGGAGCAGAGCAGCAGCTGTGAGTGCTGTAACTGGGGAACCTCACCTGGGTAAAAACAAGCATCTGGGTAGTGCTGCATTATCTTTAAACGCAATATTAAAATACCAACAATGAGCTTCTGTGTTCTGCTGCATTCGGCCAGTGCAGGGTGTGTGGCCACCATGAGAGAGGGGACACAAGGACTGTCCCTCAGCTGAGCCGAGCTCCACTGGGGCCCAGCACACGCAGCTTCCATGAAGGGTAAGACAGTGGTCACCTAAACTATCTCCATTTACACCCCAGGTCCTCAGCCAGCTCCAGGCCTGTGGAATAGTGGAAGCCATCACCATCAGCGCAGCGGGGTTCCCCATTAGGTAAGTCCGAATTTCTTGAGAAACATCTTCCATAATCTGTTTCTATAGCAATTAGTGGCATGTTAGTCATTTAGAAGAGCATTTAAGCAGGAAATCCAAGTATTTTGCTATTACAGATCATGAAACTTTACCAGTTCTTCAGTTCTTTCCAAGCTGTCGGAAGGGTTCTGCTCACTGCTTGCTTTTAAGTTTGAGGCCTTGGAGACAAAAATATCTGTCACAAATCCGTACTGCTCTCTGGTGTTTTGAACAACTCTGCTCATTTAGCAAGTCCCAAAGTGCAGTCACAGCACAACAAGCAGCACCACCACAGCCTGCATTCAGGGCACTGGCATTCTTAAAAATGTACCAAATATTAACAAAGCCCAGATGTGTCTGTAACACACCCCTGGTCTGAGAACTCACCAAGAGCTCCAGTCTGAGAAGCTGAGGAAGAGTCGTTTTGATGTGGACTATCATGTACTAAAACTTCCTAATTTAATGTGGCCTCACAGTACCATTTTCAGCAATTAAAATTAAACTATAAACGAGATTCATCTAAGTGTAGGTGCTTGAAGTCAAGCATTTCATTGCAGCTACTGACCTTGCTGGGCTTTCTTCACCACCCTCAGAGGATGGAGGTAACGAGGCCTGAGCTAGTTGTGGTTTTCACATCTCAGTATTGATGGGCTGAAGCTCCACCATTACCATAAACAAGCACGATTCCTGCCCAGTCTTTGTTACTGGCAGAAGAAGTGTTATTGGGCAATAGAGTGTCTCCTGAATTTCTTCAGAAAGTCTATACTTTCTTATATGCTGGTAGCTGCAGAGGCATCAGCCTATTTGCATGCTGTGCACTGGATTTTTGAAGCCATTTGGCAAGTTCTTCCCCCTGAAAGGCCAGGTTATTTACTGTACAGTAAATGGTACTTGCTTAGAACTAACTGTACATTTGTCTGTCAGGATCCCTTTCCAGAGTTTCACTGAGCGCTATCAAATACTGAGAAAATCATGTGGGTCCAGTAAAAAGAGATTGTGTGATAAAAGCAACTGTCTTTCTACTGCCGAGAAGAAAGGTATGTTTCTTTAGCTGATCCCTCTGCTACCAAGTGAAATTATCACTGCACCAGTTTGGTAGCGCGTGGATCAGACGCAGTGTCTGTAGCCAGCACGAGGGACACCATTACTCTCACAATATTTTTCTAATCTATCACCAACTCGAGTTTCTAATTTGCTTAACGCTTATAGCAGGCTCTTTAAAAGTCTGCAAATCTCTCATCTTCCTGCTGTTTTTCTGTGCTCCTCCTGGGTAGAACAGTTACAGTTACGATGGTGTTGGGGGTTCCTCCCCGATATAACCTGATTTAGAGTTGGTTCTGGAGTAGACTTGAAAACCACTTACCTTTTTGCTTATATTCCTTCTCCTTCCTTTCTCTTTTTTTTCCTCCCACCCTGTTTTCTTGCCGAACACACTGACCTTCTGCCTTACCTGGATTCTGCTGCTTCTTCTACCTTTTGCAAACTTCTGTACGCCGTTCTTTTTTCTAAGCAAGAGCCAGGATGGACTTTTAAAAAACACAATCCAGCCTACAAGGTAATGTCTTTGGTGTCAACCCCTCAGAGAAGGAGCTTACCAGGTGGTTACACTTAATATTGAAAGTTGCTGCAACCCCCTTCTCTCTCCCAGATCAATCCCATCTCCACCTGGTGGGTCTGTTCAGTAACCAGCAGGGGTGGGTTTGTCTGTCAGGATCCCTTTCCAGAGTTTCACTGAGCGCTATCAAATACTGAGAAAATCATGTGGGTCCAGTAAAAAGAGATTGTGTGATAAAAGCAACTGTCTTTCTACTGCCGAGAAGAAAGGTATGTTTCTTTAGCTGATCCCTCTGCTACCAAGTGAAATTATCACTGCACCAGTTTGGTACTGCGTGGATCAGAAGCAGTGTCTGTAGCCAGCACAAGACACCATTACTCTCAAAATATTTTTCTAATCTATCATCAACTTGAGTTTCTAATTTGCCTAACACCCCCTGAAAGGCCAGGTTATTTACTGTACAGTAAATGGTACTTGCTTAGAACTAACTGTACATTTGTCTGTCAGGATCCCTTTCCAGAGTTTCACTGAGCGCTATCAAATACTGAGAAAATCATGTGGGTCCAGTAAAAAGAGATTGTGTGATAAAAGCAACTGTCTTTCTACTGCCGAGAAGAAAGGTATGTTTCTTTAGCTGATCCCTCTGCTACCAAGTGAAATTATCACTGCACCAGTTTGGTACTGCGTGGATCAGACGCAGTGTCTGTAGCCAGCACAAGACACCATTACTCTCAAAATATTTTTCTAATCTATCATCAACTTGAGTTTCTAATTTGCCTAACACTTATAGCAGGCTCTTTAAAAGTCTGCAAATCTCTCATCTTCCTGCTGTTTTTCTGTGCTCCTCCTGGGTAGAACAGTTACAGTTACGATGGTGTTGGGGGTTCCTCCCCGATATAACCTGATTTAGAGTTGGTTCTGGAGTAGACTTGAAAACCACTTACCTTTTTGCTTATATTCCTTCTCCTTCCTTTCTCTTTTTTTTCCTCCCACCCTGTTTTCTTGCCGAACACACTGACCTTCTGCCTTACCTGGATTCTGCTGCTTCTTCTACCTTTTGCAAACTTCTGTACGCCGTTCTTTTTTCTAAGCAAGAGCCAGGATGGACTTTTAAAAAACACAATCCAGCCTACAAGGTAATGTCTTTGGTGTCAACCCCTCAGAGAAGGAGCTTACCAGGTGGTTACACTTAATATTGAAAGTTGCTGCAACCCCCTTCTCTCTCCCAGATCAATCCCATCTCCACCTGGTGGGTCTGTTCAGTAACCAGCAGGGGTGGGAAGCAGGACCAGTAAGTACCAGTCTATTTCTGATAAGTAAAGTGGCTGGAAATCCATTCACCCTGCGGAAATGGAATGAAGTAACGAAGTAGAAGCTGGAAAATCACTTACATGCTGTATCTTTCTCCCTCAGTTATAAAGCCATTAGCTGAAAGGCCTCACTGGGATAGGTTACCAGTCCTTTTTATCTTTAGAAGGTAATAAGCCGCAAACAAAGCAAAACAATTTCCTAAACACGGGGATGAGCTTTGGGTTCCCTTATCAGCCCAGCCCCAGAAACACCATCATAGTCACCAGATGTCTTCCTGTAAGCAAGAATTGCCTCTATTTGTTTTCAATACCTTAAAATGCTCTCATCTCCTTAGAAATATTTCTAGCAGAAAAGCAAACAGTATCCAGGATGGAAAAGATACAAAGACCATCACGTTCCAGCATTGGGCATGCAGAAACTCAGGCAGCATTGCCTTGAACAACACAATCCCTTTCCAGGACAGGTCTGAGTTAAAGTCTACCTCTATTTCCAAATAGATGTAACCTGTTTGTCTCAGAATGTAAAAACTTGTCCCAAAAATGGTTTTAATAACCTCTTATTGCTGCAGCACACTCCCCGCTTAGTACACGTCCCTGTAGCTGCTTCTGATGCCCTGTGAAAGCTGTAGAATTGTGTAGAATTTGTTTCCTGTTCCTGTACCTTTCAGTACATTAAGGTTATGTGTCTCATTCCTTGCTTTTTGTTCTTTGTTCCCAACAGCTTTTGAGTTTGGGGTATTTTGTCAGATTTTCTTAGGACTGAGCTGCTCAAATCTATTCCTAATGGCATTGCTGTTGCTTTCTAATGTTTCCACGTAGGATGCTTTAAACAATGTGAAAACAGTGAGCCCTCCCTGTGTCTGTTTCATTGCCTAGATCTACCCAAAAATGCCATTTCTTTACCCATGGATAAGCTGTAACGAAGGTGATAAGACAGCACCCAAACTACATCCTAATTAAAATACACCAAGCTGGTTTTTTGGCTGCTGGCCATTGGCAAAATCGACGCTGTCACATCTTTCACTTCAGCACAGCTCCATCTAGTCATGTCTCAGCCATCACCTCCTCCCCTCTTGTAGGTGTATCCCCCCTCAATGGCCGAGAAGTCTCAGTGTAAAGACAATCACCTGGTCCCAAGTTCTGAGTTTGGTGATACCTTCTCTCCTGGTTTGCAGGCGGGACGCCGGTGGTGGCCGGTGACACGGCATCCAGTGATGTCATCTCTGAGATCCTTCAGAACGTTACGGGACAAACCACTGCTGAGCAAAGGCATCCAGTGATGTCATCTCTGAGATCCTTCGCAACGTTATGGGACAAACCCCTGCTGAGCCAACGGGGAGCAGAGCAGAGAACCCTCCGGTGTACTGCGGCAAAACCAAAGTGTTCATGGCCAATTCTGTGGTAAGAGCACCCTTTCCTCACAGCTAATGGGGCTGGAGAGCATTTCCATAATGGGGCTTCTGGCACAGATGGGCATCGTGGTTTAAACGAAGCTCCCACTAGCAGCAGCGTGACCAGAATTTGGCATTTTCCTTCAAATTATTAAACTAAATCAAACATCCATCAGAGTGCAGCTATCAGAAGCACTGTGTTTAACAGCATCCCTGTGAACGGACACAGAGCTGCACTGGTGTCCAGTGCTCTACCCTCCCACTTCCAGTAACAATTACAGCTGTCCTCGGCTTCAGCTGATGGACTCAGATACCCAGACAAGCTGAAGCAGCTTCTTTGGGAAAGAGATGAAGGAGATGAAGGCACCTTTGCAAAGCTCATGTACTAGAGGGTGCAGCCTTAAAAAACCCCTTCAATGGAGCTAGTTTTAAGCCAGCTGCTGCTGTGACGTTGGGAGTGTCCACCTTTTCCCTCCACAACAACCTTTTTCCCCTCAGACACTTACATTTTCATTTTAGATGTTATCTAATGAGCACAAATGAAGTGCTTTCACTTCTAAAACCTAATCCAGCAGTTTCAGCACCCTGAAACACACATGTAGTTTTTCTGACACACACCAAGAGGCTGTAGAAGAGGGAGGAGCAGTGAACACAGCCCCGTCCCCAAGTACTAACTGCAGGCTCCTGTCCCCAATGCAGCTGGAGCAACTTGAAGCCAGAAGGACAGAGGTGTTAAATGAGAAAGCATTTTGCATTCAGTGCTGCTGGAGAAGATTTAAACAGAAGAAACTAGAGAAGGAGAGACGGTCTGCAACCATCATCCAAGCAGGTAAAGTGTGTAAGAGGTAACATTTCCAGTTGCTCTGGATGTTTAAGGTGGCAGGAGCTGTTAACTGAGCATGGAGAAAGCTTAAGTGCTATCTATCTGACATTGTGTGCAAGAGCTTCTGAGATTCTGTGTACTCAAGACTTCTTTTAATTAAATCTTCAGCTGTTCGTTCCTGGTTGGCCAAGAATCGCTTCCGAAGGATGCGCAAAGCTGCTGATGTCATTAAGCGTGGCTGGAGGAAATGGAAAGTAAGTACCTTGGTCAGGAACTCACTGAAATGGAGTGACTGGGGCTTTCTCGTGTCTGAGAAAAGAATCTCCCTCTGTCAAGGAACTGTACAAAACCAATTCAGTCAGTTCTCCAGAAAACTTCTCCAGCTGCAGAGCAGCAGAGGGGTGCCAGTCCCATAGGGCTGCTCGTGCAGGGTGGCAGCACACAGACTGCACAATGGACTCGTTCCTTACCACCATAACATGGAGAAGTGCCCCAAAGGGGCATCGTAAAGGAGAGGACACCCTTTTTTAGACTGTTAGTTTTGCAGTTTTAAATTTTGTCTAAGACATTTGAGAATCTTACTGAAGAATATCATTCCGCTTCTCTTCATCAGGCAAAAATGGCTGCTTTGGCAGCAGCTGAATTGGACGAGGCTGAAGAAAAGGCCTTCTTCTCAGGTCCTGGAGCTAGGAGGCTCTCAGCCAAGCCACCGTGCTCTTTGGAAACAACTCGGCCTCTGCAGACAATCATTCCCTTCTGGCCCCTTGGCCTCGTCCTGGCTGCGGCGCCCGTGACCGTGACGGGGCTTCGGAGGGACCTGTCCCTGCTGGGCTGTCTGAGAGTCCTTCGGGAGAGCGGCTGCTGCAAGGGGGAGAGCTGCTTCTTCGGCTGCGGCATCACGTCCATCAGAGCTCTCCCACAGGTAACACACCTCACGTTGTTGAGTCACCAACACCCTTAAGCCCTCATGAGTTCAGGAACCTCAACCAAGCACAAAAACTCTTGTTTTTTCCATGACAATCTGTCACGGGAAGGAGCTGATCAAAGCTCTGCGCTCCCGTTGTGAAGCAGAGGATTCTGACGGGCTCTGCTGTTACGTGCTGTGTATTTTTTCTGCTCAGGGCATTCAGGTTGCACAAGAGGTGAACACACAAAAAAACATCCACTTGGAGAAAAGCCCCTGGGTGTATTAATAACGTCCCAGTAATTCTGGATTCATTTCACTGCACAGACTAATTCAGACAGAGGATTTTCAGGGCAGAAAGGGGGGAACAACCCTCCCGTACTCCATCTCCTAACGGACAGGCAGAACAGTCTCAGATACCATTTACTACAAACAGCCACACCCCACACCAGCTGTGCTCTGGTTACCAATCCCTTGGGCCTGGGCTTGGCCTTTTTGCTGAAAAATTCTTGAGGTTGCATAAAATTACACTTGCAGGAACGGAGCCTGTGCCTGGTCAGTTACGAGAAGTAGGAAGAAGTGATACCAAGTTCAGTACTGACTACGTACTCAGATCTGCAGAGTTTAAGCTAAATTCAGTCCAAATACTCTTTGCAGTAACCATTTCTTGGTTGGACTCGATCTCAAAGGTCCCTTCCAACCATGAAGATTCTGCAATTCTGTTAAATCCATTTGTCAAAGGTCCCTTCCAACCATGAAGGTTCTGCAATTCTGTTAAATCAATTTCTTGCTGAAAAATTCTTGAGGTTGCATAAAATTACACTTGCAGGAACGGAGCCTGTGCCTGGTCAGTTACGAGAAGTAGGAAGAAGTGATACCAAGTTCAGTACTGACTACGTACTCAGATCTGCAGAGTTTAAGCTAAATTCAGTCCAAATACTCTTTGCAGTAACCATTTCTTGGTTGGACTCGATCTCAAAGGTCCCTTCCAACCATGAAGATTCTGCAATTCTGTTAAATCCATTTGTGCCAGGACTTCCTTGCAGCTCCCCCTCTACCCTCACCCATCCTCACGAGCACCGCTTCGCCTGAACAGCAAAATGAGCTCAAAATCTGGCAAAACCTCCCCTGACCCCTCCACCTCTTTTTCCCTAGGGCTCTGTCAGGTTCCACTGTAAGAAGTCTCCCCTGCACTACGCCAACGTCAGCCCCCACAGGGCCGCCTGCTCCGTCACCGGCTTCAACCAGATCTTACTGGACAGAAAAAACCTCCTTCCAACATAGGCTCTGGCCGCCTGCACACCCCCTGCTCCTCCCTCCAGGGAAGGACTTGTCTGCAAGATGCTGCTTCCAAATTACTCTACGTCCGTGTCTGCCGTTACCTCAGAGCTTTCTGTATCAACGCATCATACCTATCACATAATATAAAATAATATAATATAATACACACCACATTTAGAAGGCGGGGTGGGGGGATTCCTCCTCTCACACGTGCACACAGTAGAAGAAATATGAATACTATGAAAACACTCAACGTAATTAAAACAGACCAAGTGCTTTAAGCACAATGTACTTGAAGTGACCCCGTCTGGGAGAGCGAGAGGCTGGTAACGAGAGCGCAACGAAGGGAACCATTTCTGACACGTCCTGGATTCTCCTTGGAAGATCCAACTCTGTCCAACTGACACTGTAACACTTCTGACTGTGGGGGGAGTGAGCCACAGGCACCTGTAACACTAAAGGCTGATGTCTCAGGGAAAAGTGAGACCGGACTCTCACTTTTTGTATCCATAGGACCAAAATACACAAATTCACAAGGGCCGTGGCATTTCCAGAACCACCCTGTCAGGAGCCTCCCCCCACCAAGGCTCTCCTCAGAGGCACCCTCTGCTGCTCACACGGCTCTGGAAAATGTTCCGCGTTTCCGTGTTTTAAATAAACTGGTAAATACCTTCTCAAGGTGTCTGACCAGCCGCGACGAGGTTCAGTTAAAAAAAAACAACAAAAACATTTCAGATTAGTTTGTGGGTTACAATAAAAACAAATCTATTTAATACTAATTGTTATTGGGAAGCAGCGTTTCCCACAGTTGACAGTATTTCTGCACCGACAGAAAGCAAGTCCAGGGAATGTCAAGTTTAATTCCTGTTACCTCCCAGGCCTGAGTTTATCACTGAGTTTATCAACTCTAAATGGTGAATTAGAGCAGTGACACCCCTGAGCAAAGCCAGACCAAGCCCCGAGGGAGGACACAGAGTGCTGCACCCCGGCAGCACCAATCCCCCCCAGAGGGGCAAAAAAATCTCAAGGAAAGGAAAAAGTTCCCCAAGTAGCTCACTCGGGAAGAATGTTCTCCTTCTCTGGAGGCTCAACAATCCTCAAGCAGCAGTCTGCAAACTCCACAAACAGGGGCTCCTGCATGTACTTCTTCATGAGGGAGCTTTTATCTTCTGCCTGGTCGATGCTCAGCAGCAGCTGCCTGAGGTGGGGGTTGAGCAGCAAACCCCGCAGCTCTTCTGATTCTCCTTCAGAGGGAGAAAAAGAAAGAAAAAGGTAAAGGGTACTCACTTTCAACAGTTACAAACGCGGCTGAGACCGCCCTGATTTTACAAATAAATTGTCAAAGAGGGGAGGTGAAAGGCCAGATTTCTGGCATTTAAATCTTGGAGGCAGTGACTCACGTGCACTGAGTCCCCAACAGGGATAAACAGCTCGGCTCCGGGAAGATTTTCTGGGAATGATGAGTGTCTCCGCTAGCAGAAACAGCCC